GGGCGTCGGCACTGGCATGTGTCTTTGACGGGAATAATGTCTGTTTAGTTTAGTCATGGCTTGGATGAAACCAATGGTCATGAGGTTGGTAGTACTCTTTTTTGTGTACTGGATGGGAAAATATATCAAACATTCATACTCAAAACACTTCTTCCATGCTTGCGATGTTTTCTTGTCGAGTATACAAAGTCTAACTTTCAACTTAAGGTTCATCGAACTACAAACGTAAAAATATTGACCGACCTCGGCACACCTCAAAGTTTGGCACCTGCACACCCCGCCAACCACTCCTCCCAATCAAACTAAAACATGACAGCCACCCCATTCCCCAGACACATCCCTTCAATCCCCTACAGCGATCCCCCAAGTCGCCTCCAAACGCTCGACATCTGGCTCCCCGAACCCCAGGAAGCCACATCCAAACCCAGCAACAATGCGCCATGGCTAATCTACATCCACGGCGGTGCCTGGCGCGACCCCCTCATTGAAGCCCCTAGCTTCACACCCACCATCACCCACCTCGTCGCCTCGCACGCCTCTACTCTGGCCAAAATCGGCGGAATCGCAAGTCTGAATTACAGACTCTCGCCATACCCCGACCACGCGACGCAACCAAGTGCGCCCAACGACCCAGAGCGCTCAGCCAGACACCCGCAACACATCCGCGACGTCGCCCGCGGAATCCAGTATCTCCAGCGCGAATACAACGTCAAGCGATGGATAGGAATAGGCCATTCCTGCGGCGCAACCCTACTATGCCAACTCCTTTCCGGTATAGGACTTACACCCGACCTTGCCCCTTCGCCGGCTCCTGAAGCCATGATCTTGATATCAGGTATATACAGTCTACCGCTCATGATACGGAACCACCTCCCGCCTACGACACCAGAATACATCTCGAAAATTTACAAAGAGTTTGTGAGGGGCGCTTTTGGTGAGAGGTCAGGGTACATCGAGTGGCAGGCTGTGTCGCCTGTTGCGGGGGGATATAATAAAGAGCAGTGGCCAGAGGGGAAGCTGCTGATGCTATGTCATAGCTATGAGGATGAGTTGGTGGAGAGGGCGCAGAGGGATGTTATGTGTGTTACGCTGGATAGGGAGGGGTGGAATATCGTTATGGAAGTAGGGGATGATGAAGATGAGGTTAAAGAGGAGGGGAGAAGAGTGGTGAATGTAAGGGATTTGAAGGGTGGGCATGATTGGATTTGGGAGGATGGGAAGCAGATTGCGGTTTTGGCTGCTGAGGCTGTAGAGCGGTTAGTTTAGATTGCGGGATGAAGGTTGAGGTGAAAGTGTAGTTAAGTTCGCTATTCCCTATAGACATGCGAAAAGTGGAGTTCCAAAGTGGAAGAAGAGAGAAGACTCCGCGAATGATGCTTGCTTTTGGGTGGTATCCCATATCCAATAACCCCGACGCGGTCGCTTGCGGCTCGTTGCTATTTATACAGCGTGGTATAATGTACAGTCGTATCCCGTTCCTATCCCATCGTCTCTCATACAAGGTCGCTGACTACCTCTTGCTCAGCCTCTCGTCCATGACCCTGTTGATCTCGTTGTGCATCTGGTTGGATCCGCTCTCAGCATCATTCAGCTTACTTTGGAGCTCTTGAACCTTCTTGCTGCTTCCGCCCTCGACCATCTTCGATGCTTGCGCCTTTGCTTGGGAAGCGTTGACGTTGCCGTATACTGCCATGGCGCTTGCAATCATGCCGCTCATATCGCCGACGTTGCCGGGAACGACAATGCTTGTGCCCTCCTTAGCCAAGTTGCCGAATGCGTCAACGTACTTCTCAGCAACAGAAAGCGAGATGGCGTTTTGTGCTGCGCCGCCACCTTGGGAGATGGATCGCGCAACTGCGTCGATTCCGTTGGCAGTCGCAGTAGCCTTGAGCAAGATAGCCTCAGCCTCTCCGTTGGCCATGTTGATCTGCTCAGCCCTCAAGGCCTCGGAAGCCAGGATAACCGACTGCTTCTTTCCCTCAGCGATGTTGATAGCAGATTGTCTCTGACCTTCTGATTCCAGAATCTCAGCTCGCTTCGACCGTTCGGCGGTGACTTGGCGGTGCATGGCTTCGACAACGGGTTCGGGTGCGTGGATGTCACGGATCTCGTATCGCAGGCAGGTGACACCCCAGTCTTGTGCTGCCTCATTGATCGCAGCGGTGATGTTGGCGTTCAGGTTGGCGCGTTCTTTGAGGACGTGGTCGAGGGAGAGTTGACCGATTTCGGAGCGCATCGTGGTTTGTGCCAGTTGGGAGATGGCGTACTCTGCGTCTTCTACACCGTAACTATGGGCTGTCAGCATCCTCGCTACACGCAAACATGTGACATGCTCACCTCGCCTTGTATGCGTCAAAGACCCTGGTGTACAGAACACCATCCAGCTCCAATGTGACATTGTCGGCGGTGATGGCGCTCTGGCTGGGGATTTCGAGGGCGTTTTCCTTGAGGCTCTTGACGTAGGCTATCCTATCAATGAAGGGTACCAAGATGGCAAGACCAGGCTCCAGTATGCGGTTGAACTTTCCCATGCGCTCTACAATCCATGCTGTTTGCTGTGGCACGAACCGGATGATTGTATTTGCAGGCCGACGGTTCTGTGTTGAGAAGTACGAAGGAACGCCACCCGACTTGGAGCCGGTTTGGAAGGCAAAGATGTTGGTCGGGTCTGAGGCGGAATGCGAGTTGAGTTGCGAGAAGCTGCGGGCGGAGGATGTTGTCAAAGCAGCAGCGAGCGGCGATATCCTTGAGGTTGCGAGTGGTCTTGAGCTTCGCAATAGTCCGGAAGCCGTAGTGGCTGCCAGCCGTGTGCGCGACGCCATTATGGTGAGATTGGGTGCAAGCGATGATGATGTCGGACACGCGAAGCTCCAGAGTCATCGGCGAATCTGGCAGCCATCTCCGACCGCCGCATTATGTAATCCGCCTGTTCCTTCTCCAGAGATGCTCCCCGGGGCCTTCCACGCTTCCAACATCTCGCCTTCGACATTCTACTGCAAACCCTCCAGCTATCTTAAAGTCAATCCAAATGCGAACTGACGCGTTTGATAATACATCTGGAACCAGTCTCTGTTCTCGAAAGCTTGAGAATGTATCTTCACACCTTGGTCGATGGATAGAACCTTCAGGCTTGCACGAGCGAAAGGAATACATGCCTAGGTAAGTTCACCATACGTCATCCTCTTAGATGGATAGCCGCGTTTGTATGCGCTCCTTGTTGATAACGCTTTCCTTCTTTCCGAGACTCTCACTTTCACTCCTGCACACAGAAGCGCACAGGGCCCGTGCTTCCATCGCACTTTCCTCCTCTGTCATGTTTGCCTTGACCTTCTCACCTCCACTTTCGCACTGACAGCTTCCCCGCCACAACTCAAAACACTCAACACATCAGCGGTTCAAGTAACGCAAGATGCCGCCGCAGCGATCTCAAAAAGTCGCTCCTCGCCATGGTCTGAATGGCAAGCCCAAAAGACCAGCCCGTGGCCAACGCGGTTATCGCAAACACAAAAGCGGTCTGCTCAACGTCGAGCCCATTGGTTCGGAAGTCGCCTTGTAGGATATACCATATCCGTAGGTACACACAATGACACTGACCTTCGACCTAGGGCAAACAGAAACTCACTAGAATCCCCCCTCCTTCGCCTACCTGCTGAGATTCGCAACCGAATCTTCAGCCTCGCGCTTGGCGGATCCCCAGTCAGAATGCCAACGAGACTATGGTCAACGTCGAAATCCGAAGAACATCTCGCGCGCTGGAACCTACTCCGTGTCTGTCGCCAAGTCTACGTTGAGACGGCCATGATCGCGTACACTACCATCCCCTTCTGTTTCTTAACCATCACGGATATTCCGCGCTGTCTGAAGACGTTGAAACTTCAACACGTACACACGATTCATTTTGGGGCTCGCGCGTCACAGATGAGAATGGGATCCCCTGACAACGCTTGCGCCCGCTTCTTGCGTGCCAAGACGCTCAGAGCCCTCCAAAAAGTCAAGATCACACTCCATACGTTGGGCAGTATGCATCCTGCTGAGAAGGTAGCCGCGTTGGCTTTGGTGAAGGTGATGGTAGAGGCATACCTCCCGGGCAAAGAAATCGAGGTATTTGAGGGGACTCAATTGGAGCATGTCAGATATTGGAACGAGCGTTGAAGTGAGATCTGCGTATGTGCTGACTCCGGTCATACTTCACGAAAGAGTCCTAAGAGAGCGCGAGGGCTGTGTAGCATCTGATATCTGAACAGGCACGTGGGCGAACGGCAGAAAGATGTTCATCATGTGACTAGGATGCAACGAAGATCAGTTGCATGATGGCATCTCATACTAGAGCTAAATTGAACACCTCTCTTATAGCACGGAAAAGAAGTAAATCACTTAAAAGTTTACATTGCGTTGAAAGATTCCTAACGATCGCCCTCATATCAACTTAAACTGCAGGGTGTAGCTCTTTCCTTGAACGTGGTGAGTGGTTTCAATGTAGTTGGATCGTACTGCTGAAACTGTCTTGATTGTTTGCTGAGACAGGGCACTCAATTAGAAGACTTGATCCGTTCCTCATCCAAAGAACCGCAGACTTTCCCGTTGCCAAATTCTCCTTCTGCCTCGTTGGAACCAACCTTAGTTGTCGCTACAACGCCGGCGCTACCAGGCCTTTGCAAATATAGCAACAAGTGTTCCACCTACCATCTGATATTTCATCCCATCCACCGTGCTTGTAGCACAGATAGTAAGGGCAGCAAGTATGCTTGTCCTTCACACATCCACAGTCCATCCAGATCTCACCTCTCTCATTCTTCGTCCACTTCACCACATTGTCGATCTCCGGATACGCGCGGTACAGTTCCTTGCGCATCGCCTCCCATACATGCTTTTTGATGCGAAAGCTCCCCCGAAGCGGCCCATTTGGATTAAACACGAAGGTCTCGCCCATCAAGTGAGCTTCCTCAAATTGTTCGTTCACTCGCGTGAAGTTCAGGCTCCAATCTCGCAGAGTCCACTTATCAACATCGTCCGTGTGAGGGCTGTGAGTATTGTACCTTCCTGACATGTCCCATACATAGCGGAAGTAGCCGTCGGTTTGACATCTGATGTTGATATCGAATCCCAACTGCCGGAGTTCGTGGAAAGGGCCACTCAGCGAGCGAAATAGATGGGTGATGTTGCTGGGTACGCCTCTCGTTTGATCCTCGAATTTGAAGGTGACAGGGCGAGGCTTTTGGTTGCGCAGAGAGGAAAGCGTATTGATGCAGCGGCGAAGTTCTGCGTTGAAGTTTCCTGGTATGCCTATACGCTCTAGACCCTCGTTTCCGTCGATCTCGTCCATGCAGTCGAAAACGATGACTAGAGCCATGTTTCCCAGGAGCTCGTACAGCGTGACGTCGGAGTGAAACGTCTTTACTGTGGTCAGGTCGTTTAACTTTTTCCACGAGACGTGGTAAGTCTCGTCGTAATTAAACCCGCACGGGTTGTGAGTTATATCGGTCCCATCTCTTTTCCCAAAAGCCTTCAGCATCTCTGTTGCCACCTGCCTCCCCCCAAACCACTGTTTGGCCAAGCTTGGGAGAAAGTAGTCCAACTTCCCATAACGCTGAATCCAGAGCGCTCTACGTTGATCATTCCTGTCGTCTGCATCAATAAGCCTATCGATGAGTGTTTCCTTGCATGCATCCAAGGCCCAGAGCTCATCGTATATCATGTCGCGAAGTTCGCGTGGCAAGACAAAGAGTCTGGCTACGATTTCGCGATGTGCAGCTTGTGAGTAGCGCGAGAGGGCTTTTTCGAGCTCTTCAACTTTGCCATTCTGCTTTTGTCTTTTAAGCTTGAGCATGACTTCTTCAAGTGTAAAGTACGACCGATTTTGTACCTCTAACAGGAAGTAGTTCGCACAAAACCATTCTGGTGTAAATCGGGATTTCTTGAGGTATATAGCTTTGAGGTATCTAGAAACTGAAGTGCGGATGAGAACTCTGAGAGCGCTGTTTGCACACCTTTTCAGGTCCAATTCCGCGTTCGCCCTGGCTTTTGCTTTGCCTTCGATAAACTGTTGTGATGTCATCTTGATTTTGTTGTGAGAGTGTGTTGTGCGTATTATTGGTATTGCCGAGATATGTTGTGATAGTTGAGTCTGGGGAGTGCATTGGAGATATAAATGAACTTGACTGTGAGTCAAGTAGAACAGTTTGGTCGAGGGAACCAGAGTACGCATACTCACACAACCAATGGCAATTTACCGGAAGACCAACGGCAATTACTTTGATCCAATCCATTCAATTTTATTTGCAATAGAGCTACACAGAACGCTTCCATCCACCTTCCGCTTCGAAGATTTCACCGACCTTGCTACTGACCGCGAGTAACCGTCTATCGTGGTAGCGAGGCGCAACAAGCGACACCCCGATTGGCATCCCGTTCTCGCCCTTGAAACCTGGAACGTTGACTACTGGTGTGTGCAGTGCCTGCGCGAGTATTAGTCAAGTTCTCTGCGTCTGAACACAAAATTACTCACCGTCCAGATCAAACAAAACGCCGCACTGCCCGTCTTCTCAATACCCAATGGCGCCTCATCCGGCACACTTGGCGTAAGTACCGCAGCGTATCTGCCAAGTATCTCATCGACAACCGGCCTCGCTGCCGCAATCTTGTCGAAAGATTCAAGCTGCGCTTTGCGCGAGATATTCCCGCTGTTCTCAACGTGGCCGACAAGCTGTTCCGAGATTTTATCCTTGGCCACTGTGTACTCTGGCAGAAACGCGGTTCGGCCGTCAGAGTTGAGTACGGCCGCGTGCCACGCCGGAAGATCGTTAAGGTCATCTGGCAAGCTAATTTCCTCAACCTCGGCTCCATGGGCACGGAGTAGCGAGACCGCTTTGTCAAGTGCGGCGGAGGTGCCAGGGCCCACGCTTGGCCAGACCATAGTTTTGAGAAGGGCAAACTTCGCGCCTTTCACTGTGAAGCCTGTTGGAGGTGGCGCATCGTCGTGAATGGCGAACGTATCGGCGAGGAGTTCTAGATCAGCCACGCTACGCGCATAGAGACCCAATGTGTCCAGAATCAGAGAGTAGATCTTTTGGCCCTCGCGAGTAATAGAGTTCCATGTGGGCTTAAGGGCATAGATGCCATTGTACGAGCCAGGACGGATGGTGCTGCCACCGGTTTGGGTTCCTAGACCGATAGGTGCTTGGAAATCGCCTACTGCAGCACCAGATCCAGATGAAGAGCCACCAGGCGTGCGTTTTGAGTCGTGCGGGTTTCGTGTCTTTGGGCCTGTGGTTGTCGCAGCAAACTCGGTCGTTGTCGTTTTGCCGAAGATGAGTGCACCGCTCTTGCGCAGTATCGCTATGGAGCCAGCGTCTACTTGAGGCGCATCGTTGGAATATATGGGTGAGTTGAACTGCGTTGGCATTTCTATCATGGTTAGTCAAGTTGGATGGTAGGATGGTTCTGGCAGCTCACCCTTAGTGTAGATAACATCTTTTACGGCAATGGCCACACCATGGAGGGGACCGCGCTCGGCTTGCGGAATGGCGTCAAGTGCTTTCGCCTGCTTGATAACATATTCGGGATCGAGATATGCCCATGCTTGAACAGCTTCGTCACGTGCTTCGATGCGCCCGAGGAGTGATTTTGCGTACTCTTCGACTGAGGTTTCGCCCGCTTTGATCTTTGCCGAGATCTCGGTGGCTGTGAGTTTGTAAAGATCTGAGCTCATGGCTTCTCATAAGTCGGTGATCGTAGGAACTGTTGGTGTGTAGATACTGGAAGGTATTCCGTTTTACTTTCTCAGGTTGGTCGTAATGTCAAGGAGAGGAATTGGAGAAGTGGTCTTTGAAGCCGTTGGAGTTGGAGACACATCCAGACGCCGAAGGCAGCGACCTGTCAGCGTCAGCGATGCCATCGGCCCAAAAAGCCCGCATCGTGATAGGGAGCAATTGCGTGTCCCGTCCAGACCCGCTCATAGGCGATAGCCAAACACTTGCCCAACAAGGATATACCGGTTGTACTAACAAGTTGGAGCCGATAACGGCATCCCACTTTTTCGGAATGCTGGTTCCGATCGGAACTGTTCAGTCCATGTCGGTACTAGGGAACACGTGAACAACATCACACCTGGGCAGTTCACAGGTCCAGCCGCCTGATCAGGAGTCTCAATTCTATGATGTTATAGCAAGGCCAATCTAATGTCGTAATTTCTTCGTAGAATATTGTTCAAATCTATCGTATTGCAATTACATGATGTGAGTACATGGTTTCGATTCTGTTACAATCTAGGTTGCTGCTCTGAGCTCAAAAGGTGACCTTCGGTGACTTCTCGCCAATCTCAACATCTTCTCCTCCGTCGGTCATTGGTGGCGTTGAGGCGCCATAAATCACTCCATCATCTCTGTCTCCGTCGAAGAAGCCCTCGCGGCCGTCATTGGCCAGCCATTCCCGTTGGAAGGGCGTGCTCTCGCGTCCAACAGGGAACACACGCGGTTTGACGAAGAAGGTGATGACGAAGTAGACCGTCGCCGCGGTGAAGAAAGTTAGCAACCAGCCCATGCGGTACATGTTCTGCGCAGCCGCCGAAATGATCTGTGGCTCGTACTGGCCAATAAGGCCAGGAATACCCATAGTTGTACCAAGTAGCCAGGCTGCCACACCACTCCAGTTGACACCGGACCAGTACCAGTAGAGACCCGTCTTCTTGCCATCGTAGCACGATGGTATATGTATGTTTCCTTTGCGCGCAATGTAGTAGTCGACAATGATGACGGCGCAAAGCGGGGCCATGAAGATGTTGTAAGAACCCAAGAAACTAATTCATCGTTAGCATGTTGAGTGGGAAGCCTATTGGGGAACTTACCTCAAGAAGGCCGTTGCGTTCTTCATCAGTTCCCATGGTTGTACGACGACACCAAGAATGGCGCAAAGTACTTGTCCGCGGCGAATGGTGAGCCACTTAGGGAAAAGGCCAGTCATATCACTTCCGAACGGAATTGAGTTGGCTCCAAAGTTCGTGGCGAAGACACCGAAGTAGAACGCCAAAGCAACGAAGAAGATTCCCGCACGCGCTCCGGCGCCGAAGTGGTGGTCAAGGATGGCTTCGAAGAGATCCCAGATGTTCCAGTAGGCAACACCATAGGCTGCCTGCATGGAAGTGGTTGAGGCCATGCCAAGGAAAAAGACAATAATGGAGGACACGAAGACGCTGACACCTTGAGTCACACCAGCATCCCGAGGCTTCTTGCAGTAACGAGCAAGGTCAGGCTGATTGACCAACATGGGCGAGAGAGAACCGAAGATGGTGTTGATACCGGCCATGATGCTCCATCCCAAAGGAGTCACTGAGGCGGCAAGCTCGCCTTCGCTGGAAGCAAGGTCCATAGCGCCGAGTCCTCCACCGTTAGCCATGCACCAACCGAAGATGGCGAAAGCGGCAATTGGCATTATGAACCCCTTTACGGTGAAGATATAGTGGATGTGCCTGGGGTGAACCCACATGAATGGAAACTCCATCAACCAGGCCATGAAGAAAGCCAGCAGCTGCTTCGAGGTGACACTTGCGGTAGGCGAGAGTGTATTCGTGAAGTTTTGCCAGGAACTGCCGAAGATGCAACGGAGCATGACCGAGAGGATGTTACCGGCGTAGAAGGACTGGATTCCGTACCAGATGATGCATACGATCGCTCGGATGAAGACGAAGAAGTAGGAACCGTACATACCCATGACTGAGCGTGCAATCACGGGAAATCCGATGTGGTACTTGGCACCGGGACGAGCCATAAGGACGACTACGACTGCTGCGAGGAAAGACCCAATGCAGGCTGACACGAAGGATTGTTGCCATGTCTGTTTACGCCATTAGTTCCCAGATTCCTCTTGCATGCTTTGACGCAGCTTACCAGACCGACTGTGACAAGAGCGGAGCCCGTATTCCAACCAACGAGGGAAAACTGGTTGGAGAACCAGTATAGAGGGAGGTTGAACCTTCATTTGTCAATAAAAGCTCAAAGATGTGCGCCGTCAAGATCTTTACCAGGTCCAAGTCCTCTGTTCCACCGGCGTTGGCTCAAGATCTTTGTTAGACCATCTCTCGTCCCCGATTGGGGCATGACCGTCGTTGCCTTGGGGAGCCCTGATGAAGTCGACAAAGGCCTCTTTTGAGCGAAAGGGCGCCGCGATTTGGCCCTTGGTCGGAAGCTGGACTTTCCCCATGGTGCTGTAATGGTGTGGTTTGGTTGACTACTGGGCGTGGTCAATCCTCCAAATCCTCTTCAAGTCGGCGGACCATGATGTCTCATATGTCGATCGGACGTCACGCCAACTCCAAGTCGTTCACGTATCGCACGCATATCGGGCTGTGATTGACCACGGGCATGGCTTCTGGCGCAGCCTCTTCGGGCACTTTCTAGCCGATGTGCCATGTTGCCATGCGCGCATCAGTCATTCCCAAGCCTGACATCAACGCGAGCGGTGCGATAAAGAACAGGGGTAGAGATAGGAGGAGAATGTGAACTCCGATATGTTGCTTGTTATGGCGTAGTTCCTTCGCAATCTTTGGGGTCTCCAGGCGCCGGATGGGTGCAGCCGAGATAGAGCCACTGGAGGCCCGTGCCATCTTAGCCTATCATGGATAATCCGCGATAAGACACACGTCGGCTCACACATTCCACCTGGGCTTCAACGGGACTATCGCACGTGGGAAATATGGAGCCAAACGGTATGAATCAGCGCCGACAGCTGCAGGGCTGTCGCATCAACGCCATACTCCTGACGACGAGGCCATGTTGCAGTCCTACCCAGAGAGCCCCGTAAGCCCCTCCTCCGGTCGGGGTGTGGGAACGGCCGCAGACGCAGTACCCGCATCCAATTCTCCGAAGGAAGCTCAGTCGAATGCCTCAAACCCAGGTCCTGCGACTAGGAAATCTCGGGTGGCCTTGGCCTGCAAAAGATGCAAACGGAGAAAGCAGCGTGTACGTCACGTGGGACGTTGCTTCATGCACCTTGGCTAAGAATCATGTAGTGTGACGGTGCGCATCCAGTCTGCAGATCTTGCCAGCGAGCTGGCGTAGCCTG